ATGCTTTTATGTGCCATCAGGGACGAGTCCCAGCTTTTCTGAACACACAGACACTCTTACATTCCGTTTGGCTCCACTTACAGTTGCCTTAGTTTCCTTGGGGTTAAGTTTCTGGCCCTGGCCCTGGCCCTGGCCCTGCCTCAAGCGTCTGCCTCTGCCCCTGACCCTGCCCGTGCCTCTGCAACTGTTCTGCTCGCTTCTACGGCACTTGCCTCGATTTGGGCCCAAAGCGAAAATGCTTTCGAATCAAGAATGTAATTGGTTTTGTGGCTGGCACACACGCACGCTCTCAGACACGCACACACACTCGCGCAGTTTTCAGGTTGCAGTAAAATAGGGATCCCGTACCCCACTCCACTCCATTCCACTCCACTCCACTACTTTCCAGGACATCCATTATGCATATGTGCTAGTGTTTGCTTACTTATGTTCGTGTCTGTACAAACACTCGAGAAACTGTACTATAAGGCGCTCTAATTAATTGTTAATGAGTCATTTGAACGGATTATTAGTGTTGTAACGATTTGTAATGACGACTTAAACACACTCGTCCTGTCTGCCACTCCATTCTCCCTTTGCCTCTGTCTCTCTGACCTGTGAATTATTAAATTTACGTATAACTAATCCGATTTGAATTATTCATGTCCACCCGGATTCACCTGCCTCCAACGATTAGCATGCGAAGCTTTGAATCAAAATGGATTTCGCCAAATTCGATTCAGCTGCAACTTTAAAGCGGCCAAAATGTGTCATGTTCTCGTATCATGTCGAATTAGTATAACTCCAGAAGCTATGGACATCAGTTGTGTAATCATGCATAAAATCATAAAAGCAATGCAATTGCACTTCAACAAAACAAAGAATGCAATCAATTGCAATATCGCTAACCCAATTCAACTTTTCGCAAAAACAATTAGTTTTAATTTAATTTAAATTGGAACTTTATCCACAAAGTATTACATTGTCATTTTGAATCATTATTTCGAAATTTATTGAAAGTTAACTAATACAACCAATTTACATACAATTTCATTAACTTTGATGTGATACCCTGTTAAAATCAGCAAAAGTTAATTTTTTCATTAGTTATCTTTTACTATTACCTCCTATAATTTCGTAACGTAACGGCAGTAAATGTTGTTGTATTTAAAAATACCAAATAAATAATAATAATAAAAAACGAGGGGGAACGTTGTGAGTTGCTGCGGACACCGCAACTCTACGGTTATACCCGATACTAAGTCAGTATGGCTCTCCTCCGGCAGACGCCGCTAATATTTAACGACACGACAAAGAGTGCGTGCGAGAGAGACAGAAAATCAGTCTGAGCGTGACGTCGGGCGCTGCGTAGCCACTGCAAATTGATTTGTTCCTTTTGGCTATAAAAATGATCTGATCTGATCCAGATTCAGCAATCTAATAGATATGGTCATTATCTATGATTCTGCGTTTTTAGTTTTCTCAAATCTGCAATATTGTGGATGCAACAGATTTTCGTCTTTTGTGGGGGCGGATGGAGGTGGGGCGAAATTCTGAGATATACGTTTTATAGTGACATCTTAAAGGAGTGTGTGTACCAAATTTGGTTACTCTAGCCTTAATAGTCTCTGAGATTTGTGGTTGCCTCAGATTTTCGTCCTTTGCGGGGGCGGAAGGGGGTGTGGCGAAATTTGGACATGAAACGGTCAAGGTCCGATATCACAGGAGTGTGGATACCAAATTTGGTTGCTCTGGCTTTTATAGGTTCTGAGATCCTTGAACTCATATTTTGCAATTGGCAAAACCGACCATGAAACCTGTGTGTTAGAGTGAGACAGAGCGAGAAAGAGTGAAATTGTTTTCGTGATTCTGGCTGTAATAATTATACGATCTGGTTCAGATTTTGCACTCTAGAAGATATAGTCATCTTCTACGATTCTGCGATTCTACGGACGGACGGACAGACAGACAGGGCTCAATCGACTCGGCTATTGATGCTGATCAAGAATATATATACTTTATAGGGTCGGAAACGATTCCTTCTGGACGTTACACACATCCACTTTTACCACAAATCTAATATACCCCAATACTCATTTTGAGTATCGGGTATAAATACCAACATTCCACACATAATGTTTTTTATCCCAATCGGCCGACTAATTATTTCGAATTAAATAAAACTCGGCGCAGAAATAAAATTACGATATGTTCTTTAGTGAATTGCAAGTGTGGCTTGCCTGCCCTTTACATTGCCGCTCCGATCGCTAAGCGCAGCTTCGCTCGGCCGACGTGGGTAGGCAGACGCAAAGAGGAGATAGGAGGAGATAACAAACAAAATAAGCGGCCGAGGGCCAAGAATTAGGTGCTATTTGGCAAGCAGCTAATCGGCTGGGTCCTGCTCCGAACACCAACAATGTTACACAGATAGTCCTATCCGATTCGCAGAATTTTCTGCAATTTGGACTTTATATTGAACACCGTTCGTTCAATTGTTGCTTAAAGTTTTGCTATGCATATTTTTTAAAATTTAGTCGTACGCCAGAATGGAAATGTATGCATACATATGTATGTATGTTCAGGTTTTATCCCTATCCTTTTCCTCCTCCATACCTGTAGCTCTTCCTAGCCTATCACTTCTCCATCTCTTGGCTTTTCGCTGTTTCCGTTACAAAGTTTTTCCTGTTTCAGATTCGTATCTTTCTGTCAACACTTTTGTGGCAAATTAAATTAAATCATAATTTCAATTACCAGAAAATTAACCACAAATAGCGACCAACGGTCATTACACCGCCACCCGACATATACCCCCCTGGGTCTCTCACCGCCCTGGCTGTGGCCACCGCGTCAGGCTCTCCTCTCTCTCTCATCTTCGCTCAATTCATTAACACTTCAAAGTTTTCTGCCTCTTTCGAAGAGCAGGAGAAAGAGTCGGATAGACATAGAGAAAGATTGTGAGAGAGAGGGAGAGAGGGAGCGAGGGGAGGGGAAGGGGAAGCCAGGGAAACAGCACTCGAGGCGTTCGTTAATTTGTTAGATGAACAACAAGATGCTGTCGCATCTACTCGTAAAGCTCGGAGAGCATCCGCCTGCCCCTCACATTTCGTTTCTCTGTTTTTTTTTCTACAGAGAAATATTTCACAGCCAGCGGCCAAACACAAACAATAAATAAGTGGAAAAGAGCCAGAACTAGAGGGCCAAATAGAGGGCCATAGGAGGGAGGACGAGGACGAACCGCAACGCAACGCAACCGGAAAGAACTATTGTTCCGGAAAAGTATTCCCAGCGACTACTTTAGTCGCAGGCCGAGGAAAAGAGAGGAAGAGAAAAAAGTAAAAATGATTTCGCACAAACTTTTCTGTTTAGTCAATCATTTTAATTAAGTAATTTTTTTTTTCGCCTGCTTGTCGCAAAAGTTTTAATAGCAGTGTGGTGGGGGGTTGGGTTGGAGTGGGGTGGCTGGTGGCTGTGGCTGTGGCTCCCTCGGGGAAGGCGACGAGCCTGCATTTTGCGGTTAATTATAATGTTGAGCCTGATTACATTGGCCACGTCTGGAAAGGGTCTGAAAGTAGGCTTGCGTTCGCGTCATTTGAAGTTTCTTAAATTCCCCTGGTTTTGGTCTAAACTTTCGGCCATCAAATGGCAATAAAAATGTTGCTCTAAACTTTTATTAGCTGCTGATCAACTTGGGATGCTGGCCACTGTCCTGCCCGCCATTACTTGCCAAAGTCCCTCCTCCGTTGTTGCACATTTCCACCCACCCCACCACGGCGTATTTAATTAAGTTTAAGCGAAATCAATGAATCAACTTTGGAGAGGCAAATCCGCAGCTCTCACTCAGCTAGGACTATCTCTGCAGCTGTTCGAAGGACACCCGTCGAACAACTTTTCACTCGACTACGCATCGAAGTTTCCGCCAAAGCAAGAGCAGCAGCAACGGCAACAGCCAACCGTCCATCCTCCCTCCCTCCCACATATCCACATCCACCTGAACCACTCCGGGCGGCAGCTGGTGCAGCTGGATGCGCCTTGCATTTTAAGTTTCCACTGCTCTCCGGGTCTCCGGCTTTTCCTCTTTCTGCTGCTCCGCCCGGAGCCATACGCTTGATTTCCTAACTAAGCACGCAAATGAAGCGTGCGCCCATCAAGGATGCGACTCTATCTCTCTGCGGTTGTCTCTATATCCGTATACGAGTGCATACATATATATGTATACCGTGTATATGGGAGCGCGAGTCCCCCTAGAAAAAGTGAACCGAATCATCAAGAACCAAGAACCACGAACCAAGTCGTGTGGCACGTGGAGGTAGCCACAGAGAGGCAGCAGCTCAAACCGTGCTTAATCGTTGAAATTATGCAATTGCCAGGCTGTGGGCAGAAGCCCCGGATCCGGACCCGTGTCCGGAACCAGGTAAACTGACACACTGGTACGCAGTGCGTTAAACATCTAATGAAACTTCATCTCTTTAAGAATAAGGAAAACTTCTTCGTATCTACAAAACTTATATTTTCAAAGTCCTGCTACCGAATCAGCAATCCAAACCACTGATTAAACGAACTAAGATTGTTCACATGATATGTAGAATGTATCTCATATCTTGGTACTGTATCAAAATATCCCCATTCCTGGCAAACCGCCCAATCAAATCAAGGGAGACACTTACTTAAATTGTGCTTGGGAGCCCCTTGGGAGCAGCAGAGATTGGCCGTACACCTCGCCATGTCATCCCATCCAGAATAGTGTCAGTGTCGGCTCATGCTCATGTGTTATGCCCATTCACACACCTGACAATCTGGCAGTGGCAGCGGCTGTCGCCAAACTTTATTAGAACCATCTTGACAGCGGTAGCCATGGCTATGGGTGAGGGTATGAGTATGGGGAGCGTGTGTAGGCAATTAGCAGATCTCACAGCAAGTTCTGCCACTGCCAGACCGCATCCACAGAGGTCGCCTACATATATATAGGCCAGGCGGGTCTCGGCAGAACTCAGTTAGTGAGTTGAAGCTTGGTTTTCCGATTCTGATTTGTGATTTGCGAGCAGAATAATACGGACAAAGAGCCATACAGAGATGGCGGCCACCAGATACGACAGCATTGAGAGGATATGGTCGGGGGCGAAGGACAAGGAGTACTACGGTCCGGATATGACGCTTGGCGAGGTGGCTCTGATCATACTGCGGCTCTACTCGGACAAGGTGATGCAGGTGTTCGATCCCACGGGCGAGGAGCTCACCGGTGGACAGCTGCTCGCGCAGAGCCGTCGCCTGGCACATGCCTTCCAGCGGCTCAAGCTCCAGCGTGGCGATGTCGTGGGCATATCGGCCACCAACACCACTTACCTCACCGAAGTGGTTATAGCCGCACTGCTCAATGGAACGCCCATCAATCCACTGCATCCGCAGTTCGATTCGGGTATGAGGAGTCACAGAATCGAAACAAGAATACATGGACCCATAATCATCCCTAATCTGCTTCTGTTGCAGAGACCATGGCCTATATGTACGAGATTACCAAGCCAAAGGTCATTTTCTGCGACCTGGACAACTATGAGACCTTGAGTGCGGTCAAGACCAGCCTTAAGTTCAAGACGCAGCTCATTCTCCTCACCGGAACCCTGCCGGGGGTGCGCAACATTCAGGATCTGCTGGCCGACGGTTCCATAGACTATGATGAGAAAACCCTGTAGGTAGTCTCCCATTCATCAACCCAAAAAAACACTTTCAAACCTTTTTCCGTGTCCTTAAAGCTTTGCCTGCCCGAACCTGAGCGGCAACGACACGGCCTTCATCATCACCTCATCGGGAGTAACCGGTTTACCCAAGGGCGTCACCCGATCGCACCGCAGCCTCCTGAACGGCGCCAAAATGTGAGTGGCAGAACCTCAAATATCCTCAAAAAGCCAGCTGCTAATGTTCCAGTTCCTCCAGTCCCCAGCTGTTCACCTCGGAAACGGTGCTCTTCTGCATCAGCCCGCTCTACTGGATCAGCTGCATTTTCACCCTGATCGCCTCGCTGGTCAATGGCTGCAAGCGGGTGATCACCAATCGCCCCTTCAGCGTGGAGTACTTCGCCGATCTGGTGCAGCGCCATCAGGTGAGCTTCGTCCTGACCGTGCCCCACCAGATGGCCCTGCTGGCCAAGAGCCCCAGCCCCCAGAGGGAGGAGCTGGCGGAGCGGTTGCAGTCGGTACGGTCGTTTGTCTGCAGCGGATCGAAGGTGCCCCTGGGGATCTGGCGACAACTGTACGAGCTGTTGGGTGCCGACAGATTCGCCGTACTCTACGGCCTCTCGGAGACCGGAGGCATCTCCAAGAACGTGGGCGGTCCGCTTGGCAACGAGGGCAAGCTGCTAAGAAACGTCCAGGTGCGCATTTTGGATGGCCAGGGTCAGGCCCTGGGGCCCAACCAGACGGGGCAGATCCATGTGCGACTCAGCCAGCGCTGGGGCGGCTACTATCACAATCCGCAGGACACGCAGGCGGCCGTCACCCCCGACGGACAGTGGCTGCTGACTGGAGATCACGGCTACTTCGATGACGATGGATGCCTGCACTTTCAGACCCGCGACACGGACGTCTTCAAGTACAACCACTTCCCCATCTATCCCAAGCAGATCGAGGATGTCATCCACCACTTGCCGGGGGTCCATGAAGTGGCAATCTTCGGCGTACCCGACGAGATTTCCACCAATCTCATTGCCTGCGCAGTGGTCCGAGATGACAACGACCTGGGTCGAGCACTGACTGCCCAGGACATCACTGGTATTGTGGAGCAGCATCTTAGCGAAGCCTTTCACATACGTGGAGGTGTCTTCTTTGTGGATGGCTTACCCAAGACCCAGAACCTCAAGATACAGCGCCGAAGAATCCTGGCCGAGCTTAATGAGATCACCACCCATCTGTAGAGAATATTTTGTTGCAAATAAATGTTGAAGTTCTGCTAAGGAAAAGTCTGGTTTTGATGGGACTCGAAACAGTAAACAAAATGAGTCACTCCAGAAGGGTTTTGAGACATTGAAAAGTTTCCATGACATTCAGTCCGACCGACCGTCTGGCCTCTGGGATTTAATTAGCTTCATCGGCTAAATCAGCATCTAATTGCGACGACACCGGTGTCAACCACGACGACGACATCTGTGGACGACATTTGGGGACGGCGCCGCGTGTCCAACTAATTAGCAGCTATCGGCTTTTGTTTCCTAGTGTTCCATGGAGGGGGCATATAAAACCGAAATGAGGCGCAGTAAAGCACTTAGTTGATCGACGATCGTTAGCCGTCGAGTTAGCAAGATGAGCTGTGAGGTGCACTACGACGCCGCCTCGCGCACTTGGTTCGGGCCGCGTGGCAAGGACTTCTACGGCCCTGAGATGACCCTGGGCGAGGTCATCATGCGCGTGCTCCAGATCAACGCCGACCAGGTGATGCAGCACTGCGACCCCACCGGCGAGGAGCTTACCGGCGCACAGCTGGCTCAGCAGAGTGCACGGATAGCCCAGGCCTTCAAGCGGCTGGGCCTGTATCGGGGCGATGTCATCGGTATATCGGCGAACAACACGACCTATCTGACCAGCGTGGTCATAGCGGCCCTGCTCCGAGGAATACCGATAAATCCACTGCATCCGGAGTTCGCAGAAGGTACGTTTGGGAGTGGAAACTGATCTGAAATCAAATTCACAAGTGAAAAATTATCGTAACTTGAAAGAAATATGATGAAATTGGTGTTCCCTTTCTTGTATTTCTATCTTCAGAGACGGTCAAGTACATGTATGACATAACGGAACCCAAGTTGATATTCTGCGATGTGGAGAACTATCCCACAATCCAGGCGGTCAATCAGAGATTGGTCACTCCTGCCACCATCTACCTGTTGAATGGACGGCTCGAGGGAGTGCGAGACGTCAGCGAACTGCTCAACGAGGATGAATCCATCACAGCAGCAGCGTGAGTTGTACAATCCAATATTCACACTACTCTCTTAACTGAATTCCCTAGATATGTGCCCTGTCCCAAGCTACATGGTGATCACACGGCCTTCATTGTGTGCTCCTCCGGCACGACGGGCATGCCCAAGGGAGTGACGCGCTCACATCGGAGTTTGCTCTGCAACTGCAAGATGTAAGCAGACGGGTTCACCCCATATAATTCCCAAATCTAACGCCTTGGTGCCCTTTCAGTCCCAATACCTACACTAGGGACAGCATTCTGCTGTCCTTTAGTCCTTTGTACTGGATATCCGGGACGATAATCCTGCTGGCCTCGCTGCTGAATGGATGCCGGCGCATCATCACCAATCGACCCTACAGTGTGGACTACTTGCTCCAGCTGGTGGCCACACATCGGGTGACCTTCCTCTTCCTGGCCTCCCACCAGATCGCACTGCTCTCCAAGCACGACAGCGACTTTGAGAAGCTGAAAGCCCAGCTGGAGTCCATTCGAGTGCTGATCGGTGCCGGATCGAAGGTTTGCAAGGCGGTCTCCCGGCGCATGTATGAGCTGATCGGCAACCAGAGGTTCATCATTGGCTACGGCCTCTCAGAGATGGGAGGACTGAGCAAGAACGTCGGCGGTCCGCTCGGCTGCGAGGGCAAGGTCATGCGGAATGTGGAGCTGCGCGTCCTGGACAAACTAAAGATGCCACTGGGCATCAACGAGGTGGGGATCATATACGCCCGCCTGCGCTATCACTGGGAGGGCTACTACCGCAATCCGGAGGCAACCGCGGGGACACTCAGCCCCGATGGCCAGTGGTTCCGCACGGGGGACATTGGCTACCTCGACAGCGAGGGTTACCTGTACATCCAGACCCGCGACACGGATGTCTTCAAGTACAACAACTTCCAGATCTATCCGGAGCAGATCGAGGAGTTCATCCTGCGCCTGCCCGGCGTCAGCGAGGCCTGTGTGTTCGGGGCGCCCGATTTGGTGGCCACCAACCTCACGGCCTGTGCTGTGGTGCGAACAGCCAGCCTGGAGGGTCAGTGTCTGAAGGCGGATCAGATAAGGAGCATTGTGGAGCGGCACTTGAGCGGCGCCTATCACATCAGGGGCGGCGTCTTCTTTGTCGGGAGTCTGCCCAAGACATCCAACGATAAGTTGCAGCGACGCAAGGTCCTGGGTCTGATACAGCAGTTGGGAATCGAGGCTGAATAAAGTTTGATCCTAGACGGTTGACACTGTGTTTTCTGTGCGGAAGAAAGCCTTCGTAAATCAGCTTGGAACCACTGTGCGAATACCGAAGCTTAGCTGATGGCTAACTAATGTCGAGTACTCGAACTCAATGAATTTTAATAGAGATTCAAATTGCAAATGCAGCGGCCAATTCCCTTGGAGGACACTGTAGCCCTTCTGCCCCGTGCACCCGGTATCCGAGCCATCGCAATGACAAGCAATTTGTTATTTGTGGCACTCCTGTGGCTCCTCCTGCAAGTCGAACAGATATTCTACATAAAATGAATTGAAAAATTAAAATTTCAATATGCTGAGGGCATTGGGCAATGGGCGATGGGCAAAACATACATATTTTATTGGATGCTGTTTTGGGTCGGGTCGGACTTTCGTTTCGGCTCCAGTTGGAACATTTTCGACATTTGACAAATGCCGAAATGAAATGCTCGACAAAACACGATTCAATTTGCTTTAACCTCTTCCCTTTTGCCATCCCCGTTCGAATGGGAGCAGCAGTAATAGCATCAGTTAGAACCACTGTCTCTGTCTGTACCCCGTCCGCACCTATCCATACTGTCCTGTCGGTTCTGTCCGTCCTGCGGGGGTGGAGGTGACAGGCGGCTAAGCCGTAAAGTAGAGCCCCGCCACATGGTCCAGTCCGCTCCGGTCTGAAATCGGTTCGGTTGTGGCCGTCCGTCTGCATTTTGCATCTAATGCGGATTATCCAGGGGCTTTGCAAACTGCACCCTAGGTGTAAATTGGTGTGCCAGGGATTTGCATGACCAACGACTAGCTGTACGAGTATGAATGAGCTGCAGAGTGAGTAAATGAAAGGAGAGGAGCTCAAGGCTCGGCACACAATTGCTTAACAATTTCCGGTTGCAGGATGAAGGCAAAGGAGGTCAATGTCCCTCTCTCTCTCTCTCTCTCTCTCATCCCATCTTTTGTTCCTTCAGTCTTATTATCACCGTCTTTAATCCATATGCAGAACGGAATGAATATGAATACCCATTCGAGTGTTTTGTATGAACCGAAGTTTTGGCATTCGCTCCATGATTCGTCAATTCTAAGGGACACATTTACAAATTCGACTTTAAATGAAAATCGACTGCATAAATGGGTCTGATGCTGCATCAGTACGCTTGTTACATCCATACTTTTTTGTGTTGGATTTTGAATACATCTTTTTGGATAAAAATTAAAATTTGACGAAGCAGAAGAATGCATCAATGGAATTTGTGAAAATAAATCGTTTGGCTGGCTGTTTTATAGAGAAATTAAATTCAAATTGAAATCGCTGACCAGAATGTAAGCCTTATTCAATAATACCAGAATTTCCGCAAACTGAAGTCAGGCTCATAAAAAAAAGGACACGCTTTATGCAAACGCTTTAATGTTTCATCAAGGATATCCGCAGCATATGCAATAATATGTAAACAAGGACAACAATGCCTGCAACTTCCACAATACTCATAACTGTACCACGGGAGTGGAGAGAGGAACCCAGCCCAGTCCAACCCGATTCGGGACATGGCCCTGTTTGTATTTTTTGTTTTTTTTTTTGTGGCCCATAATTAAACAAGAATTTTCTGTATTCAGGGTGGATCTGGGCAGGGAGAGAGCGCGATATAGGCCCGCATATGCCGCGGCGCATGTCCTGTGCCGCAGCGCCCCAGAGCGTGTCCTGCCTCGATCGCTGTGGCACATCTGCCGTGCGTTGATTTCGCCTCAGACCCTCAGAGCCCTAGAGCCCTCAGAGGGTTGAAAAGTGGTGGAAACTATTGCGACCGTTACTTTCAACAGTGCCCACTCCCTATGTACGTGGACACACTGACACACACACACACCTGGATGATAGCAGTATTGCTATCGGGATTGGTCGAGGAATTTCGAGAGTTTGGAACAAACAGATATACAGATGCTGTTTTTCTTTGAGTGCTCGAACATCTTTCGCATAATTCTGCCCCTATTAATGGTGGGGAGTGTGGAGATGGCCACTTGCACCACAACAATTGTGCTGCCTGCGACACGCTTTAGCATTTGAAACAGAAACCGCAATAGTCCAGAAGTAAGTATATCTGCCTTCCTATATGAGAGCATCATAAACATATCCTGCCGCTGGGACTGGGGCCACATTCAAATCAACCTCAAGTTCATGCAATTTATATGCCACCTGCCCCCGCCCCCTTCTTTACATTTCAAACTGCCACCTTGCCGCATTGGGCCTGCCTAGAACCGCACGTGCATCTGATGTGTGGTCGTCGCTTGTCCAACTCCCCAAAGAGTTGCGTAGAGTGGTCATCTTTATATCCGGTATATGACTGTGTTTGTCAGCTCCTTTTTATTTTCTCACCTTGCGGTGGCTGTGCCCCTTCCCCACCCTTTTCCACACACCTCCCATTGGAGGACTGTGCATACATTAACACCCGAGTACTCGGAGCATTTATTGAGTATTTTTATGCGATTTATCTACTCAATGCGCACGAGCGTGTCCTGGCTGGCAATGAGGCATAAGTTCTTGATTTCACGCACTTTTGATTGATGGCAAAGGACTGTGGGCTTTTAAATCTCAAAAAATGGCAAAAATACACAAAATTGGAATCGAATTCGATAGGAACAAGCTGCAGGCCCCCAAAAAAGATAATCCCACACAATAGAATCCAGCTGTGTGCGGTGGGTGGGTGGCTGGGATAAGCTCGATAAGAGTCTGAATGGGAAAAAGGTGCATCTCCATCTCGGGTTCGAAAGAGTCTAAAGGCATTTAAAGCGGTCTTACATCCGGGAGTAGATAAGCCAAAAGAAGCCAAGGGAAATCGAATGCAAGAGACTGCCAAAGGGAATCGAACACTGTATGCCCTGTCCGAGCGGAACTTATGGTCAAATAAATCTATAGGCCTATAGGCCTATAGGCCATGCAATTGCCAGTCGAATAGTGAGTTATAATCGAGTGAGTTTTATACCCTTCCTTCCAGTGGGACCACTCGCATTCCTATGTAGCTCTGAATAGTCCTTGGACATCCCATTGCGCTGTCCCCGCGAACATCCGCAGCTGTTGCTAGCACTGTAATTTCCTTGCCACAGGAAGCCTGGGAAGCCCACCACCGGAAAACTTTCTTGGCCCAGAAAGAGGACGCGTGTCCTAACGCCTGCCAGCCGTCCCTCTGGGCCACGCTTCGCAGCACCTACGCAGAGCCGCCGGGGCATAGAGATAGGGGTAGGAGTAGGAGTAAGGGTGCTTGCCACACGCCGCTGTCGTCGCAGTTGAGCGCGTCTCGGTCAGGGCCCACTGAATAATAGTTCACTTTTCATCGCAGATAAGAAGAAATACATACTATACTCGTCTCGTGAATAAGGAGCCTGGACTGGCTCCTCTTGGCACCCGCTCTCCCTCTCTCTCTGGATTATAATTTCTGTAGACACGCAACTGAGGCACACGCCCACGCCAACGCTCACGACCGCCCACGATTAGGCCCGGCTCTGTCTGCCAGGGAATCCATCATTACATTTCGCCTGCGAAGCAGAGGAAGCAGCACAAGTAGATGGAAAAATCATTTATCCTCGTCCTGGTTCTCGTTCTGGTCCTTGTCCTCGTCCAAGGCTGTTGAAAAGCAGGAAATTCACACAGAATATTCATGTTTGTTATGCAATACGAGGGAAAAACAAACCCCCTCTCCCAGCACCGGCACACCATCTCTTCCAAATGAGGGAAGCTTAGTTCATTTGCTGGGAGAAAAATAAGCTTGCCTTTGCTTTATTTAAGCAAATATTTGATATGCCCCCATCCCGTTGGCATCCCGTGGCACGATGCAGTGGAACAGTGGAGAGACGCTGAAAGCCCAAAGCATAAATCAATATTTGTCACCACGAATGGGGGCCGTCTCTCGGCACAGTTCTTAATCGCATAAAAATGCCAGAGAGGGGCTGGCTGGCGATAAGATAGGCCCAGGTGGAGTTGGACTTGTGCCTGATAAGCGTATGCCTGTATGTATGCATTCAAGGAGTTGGGCCATGGAGCGGGTATAGGGCTATATAGGGCTGTTTTTACTGGCGCTTCATCGTCCAGAGCTCTCAAACAAATCTTCCAAATTACTTTCTGGAATACTCTTATTACAATAGCTCAGAGCAAATTGATTTCTCTCGTGCACTCCTTTGTTGAATCGGTATCATTATCGTCAGGCACTAATTGACGCCACATGACGCCCAATCCAGGGACCAGGCTATAAGAAAACAGTTTGTGGACTCACCCAAAAGCTCTGCCGGCTACTGCTACACTTAAGCAGCTCTCGGTCTTGCAGCATCTAAATTATATGGGCCAGGCCAGAGCCTGGCTTACACGGCTCCGACATCCGTTAGAGGCCATCTGGTCGTGGTCCTGGTGCTGGTCCTTGTCTGCAGCTACATTCAATTAATTTTACACGATGTAGCGAAAATCCAGCCCCAACCCCAGCCAGTCCAGAAACATGAAAGAATATCTTTTGCGGAGGACGGAGGGCCTGTGTACGGGGCATGCAACAAAACTAACGATAATTTTCCAACCCAGAGGAAGAGAACGAACCAGAGCGAGAGAGAGAGAAAGAGAAAAAGATGGAGATGGAGATGGAGAGAGGGCGAGTTTAAAGCAAAAACTACGTTGTAATAACATTTTAACGATATTAGCACGAAAAATGTGGCCCGGCACACAAAAGCGGAAAGTGGAAAGCTTAACGATGCTAAACGAGTGCAGTCTCCATGCCACACAGAGTGAGAAAGGGGGAGTTAGAAATGGAGAGAGAGGGAATGCAATGGCAAAGGATGCGACAAAGGGAGAGGCAAGGAAAGGCTGTTGGCTTCGCTTTTGTGGCTACCAAAGAAATCTGCAGCAGCGCAAATTGTTCAAATATTTTGGCTTTGCCACATGCAGCAGCACACCACCACACCACCACACCCCACCCTCTTACCCCCTCCCTCTTTTAGATGTCTCTTTTCTTTAACAGCAGAAGCGACAACAATGGGGGAGTGGGGTGT